CCAGAATCCACCGAACATTTTATTGGTCAAAGCAAGTCAAAATTGAAGGAAGAGGAGAAGATAGATTTCATCTCTTTATGGGAAGAGCAACAAAGGCCCTTTAAGAAAGGGGCGGGGACATGGCCTACCACATCCGTGTGTCAGAGTTCCTGAAAAATAAAATCTGAAATGTTAGTGGAAAAACTACATTTCACAATGAATCTTTGTTCTATAAAATGTCAAAAGGTTGAGGGAGGTTGAGAGAGAGAGAGAGAGAGACAGAATGAAAAAAAACAATTATTCTCTCAAATCGGAATTTCACTGTCAGCAAAGACCTTAGTGCCGTCTGGTCCCACTGCAGCCAGTTTGGGAATTCCTTTTACAATAATCTACCTGACCATTTCCAGACACATCACAAGGCAGGGAAGCTCTGCTTCTAAGCAGTTCTGATTGTTATCCTGTTTTTTCTTTAAAACTAAGTCAAAATCTGCCCCTCTCTTTCTAAAATATCTTCTGGTACTAGTCCTTTGTACCTTCTAGAAGTTAAGGCATGGAGACAGGACCATGTGATGGTTTAGAGGATGAGTCTGGAGTCAGAATGCCAAAGTTTGAATCCCAGCTTTGCTACTTTCTGTGCCTCGATTTCTTTATCTGTAAAATAAAGATAACAGCAACTCTCAGATTGCTGTGAAGATGAAATGAGTTTACAGAGTGGTAGAACAGCACGTTGGGCATAGGAAGCTATGAAATGCTTATTCTTGTTGTTTTTAATAGTATTGCTATTATACTAAAAAGGCTTAATTATGCCTTCCAATAATACTCCTTCAAATACTTAAAGATAATTAATGCCACCCACTTCATCCCAAGCCCTCTTCCAGGAAAAACATCCATGATTCCTTCAACCATTTCTTCAGTGACATGGTTCCCAGACCCTTCACCATTCTGTCAGTTGTCCCTTTATAGCATAGGAACCTAGAGCTGAACCCAAAACTCCAGATGTCGCAGAAAGAGAACAGGGTAAGACTGTCACCTCTCTTTCTTCAGAAACGGTACTTCAAATAATAAAATCTTAGACTTGATTCTTCATTCAACAAATATCCATGAGCTCCTACCGAGAATCAGGAACTGTGCCATTTGTGAAGATAAAACATAAAAATCCCATCTGTGAGATCCCCCAAATGTGGTTCCTCAGATTAGGGGCATCTGAATGAACCAAATATTTTACAATAGTTTAAGTAAAGTCTGTATTAAAATACACTTAAAGAAAAAAAAATATATAAGGCTTTCAAAAAGCAGACTCACTCTAGTAATTATGACTCAGATAAAAAATTAAATGCCTCAGAAACTCCTTCCATCTTTTCCTATAACTCCACTAAAAGTGACCACTAGCCTAATATCTATCACCTTAGTTTACTTAATTTTGCCCATTTTTGAATTTCACGTAAATGGAATCACATAGCTCTTATTCTGTTGTGTCTACTTTCTTCTTAGAATTATTTTTGTAAGGTTCATCCAATGTTTTATGTGAGGCAGTAATTTGTTCACTCTCATTACTTTAGAGTATTCCATGGTATCAACAACTTATTTATGCATTTGTCCATTCTACTATTGATGACCATGTGGGCTGTTCCAACTTGAAGCCATTATGAAACTACTGCTCTGCCTATTCTTTTACATGTATTTTCATGCCTCTATATATGCCTCACTATTGAGTGTTTATCTAAGAATGGAGTAGCTGGGTCAGAGGAGATAGGTATGTCCACCTTTAGTAAGTGATAGCACAATTTCCAAAACAGTTATACTATCTTTCATACCTATCAGCAATGTATAAGAGTGCCAGCTTGTTCATATCTTAATCAGCATTTAGCGCTGGCAGTATCTTTGATTGTAGTCACTCTGATGAGTGTATACTGATAGCCCATTATAGTTTTAATTTGCATTTCTCTAATAACTAATGAGGTTAACCACCTTTTCAAATGTTTCTTAAAAATCTGCAGATCCTCTTTTATGAAGTGACTTGCCATTTTCCTATTGGGCTGGCCATCTATTTCCTAACGATTTGTAGTTGTTTCTGCATTCTGGGAATGAGTTCTTTATTGGATATGTGCATTACAAATAAATACCTTCACCCATTCCGTAGCTTGCCTTCCCACTCTCTTTATGGAATCTTTAGATGAACAGTGCTTACCAATATTTTCCTTTATAATTAGTGCTTTTTGTATCCCATTCAATAAACCTTTGATTGCATCTAGGTCATAAATATCTTTTACGTTGCTTTCTTCCAGAAGCAGCTTTATTATTTTAGTTCTCACATTTAGCTGTATGAGGTATCTTAATTTTTGTATATGGAATGAGGTAGATCATCAAGATTCATTTTGTCCACATGGATATCCAACTGGCCCACCATCCCTTACGGAAAAGCCTATCCTTTCTTCACCACACTGCAGTATTGCTTGCATCATAAATCAAGAGGCCACTATGTGTGAGCCTGTTTATTGATCCTCTACTCGGTTCTGTGGTCTGTCTAGCATCGTGCCAATGCCAACCAATATACTTCATATTGATCTAGTAGCTCACATCATCCAACTTTGCCCTTTTTCTTAGACTGCCTAGAATTTCCAAATAAAATTTAGAGCTGGCTTATTAACTATTTTTGAAAAACACCTGCTTAGGTTTTGATTGGAATTATACCGAATCCATAGAGTTATTATGCGGAGCAATGACATACCCTCCATTATTTTAATTTTTTTCCTCTCCGTTATTTTAAATCTTTAATTTCTCTAAACAGTGTTTTAGCTTGCAAGAAGTTTTTATCATGAACAGGTGTTGAATTTTACCAAATATTTTTTCTCCTTATTCTGTGTATGTGGTTAATTACATTTATTGATTTTCTAAGTTAGACAAAGTTTACATTCCTGGAATAAGTCCAACTTGGTGATGATTTAGTATCCTTTTTATAGATGTTAGATTTGATTTACCAATACATTGTTTTAAGACTTTCACATCTTTTTTGTGAGAGTTTGGCCTATAATTTTCTTGTAATGTCCTTATCAAGCCTTTGAACAAAGTTACGCTGGCCTCGTAAAAGTGGCCAGGGAGTGTTCCTTCTTTTTCTCTTTTTCGTTTTTTAAAAATGTTTTTAATAGTTCACTAGTGAAGCCATCTGGGCCAGGAAATTTTGCTATAGAAAGGTTTTTAATTTCTTTAATAGATACAGAACTATTTAGATTTTCTAGTTCTTATGTCTTAGGTAAGGCATATTTTAAAAATTTGTCCACTTCATATGAATTTTCAAATGTATTACCGTAAAATTATTCATAACATCTTAAAAATCTTTTAAATGTCTGTGGAATATGTAGTGATAACTCCTTTTTCTTCCCTGAAACTGATAATACTATACACCAGTTAGGTTCATTTCCATTTAAAAAAAAGAAAAAAATAAAGAAAAAGGCTGTCATGTGCTACATGACACACATCTACTATCATAGGAATATTCTTCAATTACCCACAGAAGGAACAGAGCAGGCAGAGAATGTGAACAATCCAGCAATTCCCTCTTGACACAAACAACTGTGAACTTGATCAAGAAGTAACACTAACTGAAGGAGAAGGAAATAGCTATTGGTAATGATCTAGGGTGGACAGTAAGACCTCAGAAGAAAAATGGTCACTAAGCAGGGTCTGTAACCTCGGATTCCCTCCAAGATGTCCATACGGAGAATTCAGGGGGCCATAAACTTATTATTTTTCTCAAACGTCTTTATTGTCACAAACCTCTAACTGCAATTCAGGATTCCATTTGGTTATAAACGTGGACAACCAACCAAAGTAGTAAGAGCATTTCTGGTGACATTCTCACCAGTAACAGTCACAAGATACTTTCATACCACAGTGTAGCTATTACAAATACTGCAAAATATCATTTATATCGGCATCACTACTTTGAAAGTATGAGTTATTTGATACAGAACTGAATTTTGTTACTTAACGAATTAATAACCACATAAAATACTTTATTACAAATTTTTTTCCACACTATTTTGATAACTTTGCTTCCATAGAATGTGTAACCCTATGTATTTTTCAATGCCTTTTAAAAAATTGACTTCCCCAGATTCCAAAGAGGTCCATGGCACAAAAAGGCAAAGAACCCCTACAAGAAAACAAGGATTTCATCCAAGCCAGGGAATTCCAGCGTAACATAAAACACTTCCCCTCTGCCAGTTTTGCACTAGAAGCAGGAGACACACAGGTGAGGAAGGCCCACCCTGGCTAGTTCCTGATGTTACCTGCAGAGCTTCCACCAACATCTAGCCACCCACAGAAATGATTGCTCTCTCCAGAGACTTGGGCTTCACCCTAAGTTAGCCTTTATAACCTATTTCCCAAGGATGGAACAAAGTAAACAGTAGATGAAGCACACTTTGATCCAGAAGGAGGAGTACTACTCAAATGTCCTAGTTTGTGGCTTTGGCTTCTCCTCTAAGCCTTTCTTTATTTACTGTAAGGTTTAGAAACAATGTATTTAAAGCACCTGACAAACACATCGACCTGTTACTTTTAGTTGAATCTTTCAGGTCAGAACTGACTGTCCTTACCCAACATGTAATCTTAGTTAGGGACTGCCACCAAGAAAGGAGGGAGTAAAAGAGTCGGGGGATGGGGGGAAGGATCATGCTTATTCTTCAAATTCCAGTATGAAAAGCACCCCCTCCTCAGTGAAGTCTTCCTTCCCACTGAGCGACTTCTGTTCCCACGGCACTTACCACACTGAAGTAAATGCCTAGCTCTGTGAATGAATGGATGAATGGTACAAAACAGAAAGGGACAGAAACAATGAGTCTCACCCCCAGATAATGCAAACCACCGAGAATGCCAACCCACCAGCCTGACTGCCCTGATCCCAGAGCCATGAACCAAGGAAGCAGCACATTTCTTAAGATCGATGCCATCCTACTACCTCTCCCGCTCACTCTGGTAGGGATTGCGGGAGGACATCCTTTCCACACAAAGATCGGTGCCACCTAAAGGCTAAATTTAGAAGAAAAGAGGGAAACTGAGTCCGGAGAGTAGAAAGCTAAAGACATCTCTAACTTTGGGGGTCACTGGAGCCGCAGCAGTCAGGCAGGCGCACTTCTAACACGGCCAAGGGGACCAGCGTCCGCAATTTTCCGCACCCGGGAGGGAAACCCGGGACGAAGCCAAGGAGAGGGGACGCTGGCAGGGGCATGCGTGGACGCGGGCGGGCGGAAGCGCAGCCTTGGCCGCGGCGCACGGTCCTGGCCCCCGGCGCCTTTGTCTCCGCTGCAAGACCGGGCACTTCCTCTGTCCCGCCCACGGGAGCGCACGTAGGAGCCGAGGTAGGAAACGGAAAGCGTCTTGTGCATTTCTTTTTTTTTTCAACCGAGTCAACCAAAGCAAAAAAAAAAGGTCACCTACAACGTTCCCGGGACCCGCCACGGTCACTGGCTCCCCACCTCCGGGCTGTCCCCGGCGGCAGCGGCGGCGTTGGCGCGCGCCCAGCACCCCTCTCCGC